GAGGAGAATAGAGCGGGGGCGGCATACTCAGGGAGGAGGCGGAGCGGAGGTGAGCTGGGGTGGGGAGCTGCTGCACGGCTCCCCGGAGGGGGGAGAGCTGCCGCGGGGGGGGGCGGGGCGCACCTCAGGGGAGGGGAGCTGCCACGAGGAGGGGCGCCTCAGGGCGGGGGGGGGGCGGGAGCTGCCGCAGGGCTGGGGGCGGGCACAAGGTGGAAGTTTCGCCTAGGGCGTGAAACTTCCTTGCACCGGCCCTGTCTGCATCTTTAGGTGCCTGAATACCTTTAAAGTTATGGGCCTTCGTTCTATGGTACATAGAGCTCCACTCTTCTGGACTACACACACGCAGCCCATCAGCCAAATGCTATTTCAGGTTGCCACCTGCAGCCCTATCTGACATCTGCTGCTACAGGCCACTGTGGATGCTGAATTCTGGAACTGTCTTCCCTTGCTGCTTCCTCTTTAGCTGTACTTCTAGATTTCCTGAACAACTCAGAGAGATCACCTAAGGACACAGAGCCTCATAACTCAAAGGCTTTCAGCCAGACAGACGCAAGATGAGGTAAGGGGCCTCTCCTAGGTACTAAGCCTGGGATGGAACCAGGCATAGAAACTGGATGAAACCACATGTATATTAGAGTTGGGTCCAAACTGGAATCCTGGATCCAAGTCACCCCTGAAGCTTGGGAAGGCTGGGGTCTGGATCTGAACTTGGTGACTAATTCAACTTCTTATTTCTGAATTGGAAACCCAAATTTGTGGAAAGTCTGGATTTGAAAATACTCTAGCCATATATATGCTTCATGTAGATTTCCATGAAGCCCAGATCTGGCCCTAAGTACCTGGATATGGGCCAGATTTTTTTTTAAAGAATCCTTATTTTCTTTATCATGAAAACCTCTTATACATTTTCAGACCATTCTCTCAAAACAGCTGGTCTAATTACCAGAGCAGAATAAAAGTAGAAATTACATTAAAATTTCTGACAAATACATAGTTTATAGTTTGCTATACTATTTACAGGTCACACATAGAATAATAATACTTACCTCACCTGGCTGTCATAAGGCTTAATTCATTAATGTGTTTAAAACACTTTGACAGCTTTGGATTAAAAGTGTTACAGAAGTTCAAAGTATTATTAAACGAATGAATAAGTTTAATGTTCCTAATATTTTTTTCTCACTGTAGATTTTTCCTAAAAGCAAAATGAACGTCATATTTTTTTTTTATTTTAAAACTTTTTCTGAAGCTGATCTTTATTGTAAATAACTCTCTTTCTCTGTTGTCTGTCTGTCTCTCTTTGCATATTTCTTGATGGATACTCCATTTTAGTGATTTAAGTTATTACTGCATGATATGGGTTCTTTAATAAGAAGGGTTCACAGATGCTGAAACTTGCCTCATGAAGTAAATCTCCCCTCCAGTAAGAACCAAGCCAAGCTATGCTTTCCAGTCAGAAAAGTAGTTTTCTGTAACAGCTTTTTTCATAACATTAGTACAATGTTTAATAACCTCTTCTGCAGTGAAATCCTGTCTCTGCAGAGAAATGTGTTGTTCTAAGGGCCTCAGAGATATAGATATAAAAGCTTTAGATCATTACCTGAAATCTCACACTTTTAGATGCAGGTTTTTTTAATTACAATAATTTGTACTGCTTTTTAGAACCTGTTAACATCCATGCTGTAAAGGTATGGGTAGGACTGTAAAAGTGAAATAATATGTGCAATTTTCTTGGGTTAAAATAAAACTCAATTGAAGATTATTCTTTTAAAAAAATGAAATCTTGGGAAAGTATCAAGGGCCTTGAGTAACATGCATCTCTCATAACAAAGATGGGGAAAAAATCCCCTCAAAATATATGTGAAAATGTGTTTTAGGTTACAACAATGAATGCCCTAAAATCAATGCTGTCACTGTGTCAGTACTTTAAAATGACATGGTGATTTTCTATTTTTAAAATACATCCAGGGGGAGCTAGGGAGTAACAATTTTGCTTTCTCTAATGGTGTATAAGGGAATATGAATACAGAGAAGAGTAACATAAATTACTAATATTTGTTTTGTTTTTTTATAGGAACTTTTGATCAGAAACTGGTCAGACATTCCCAGAGTGGTTGAGAGCCTGTCAAGGTCACTGCCAAGGACAAGAGAGTCAATTAGTATGCAGATCAGAGGCAAGGAGTTCAAAGGTATTGTTCCAATTCAATCACATTAGCCAGGCCAGTAATGAACAAACGGCATGACCTTAATCATGGAGCCTGAACCACTCATTGAAGGAAAGTATGTGTCTGTGTGTGTATTTGGAGGGGAGGGGGGCATTGGAAGGAGGGGTTAGAGTGACAGGAAGATTTTTTAAAGAGACAGTATGAACAGTTGGCTTAATTAGCCACCAATATAAAAAAACTTATTTCATAGGCCCCTTATTTTTAAAGTACAAGATTGTTTTATTTTGGGTTATAAATGAAACAGACTTAAATGGACAGTGGGTGAGAATATTTAATAAAAATGCTCAAGCATTCACTGATATGCTAAAGGCTTGCAGGAAGAGGTGGATAACCTATGTAAAACACCAAACTAAATTTTGAAATTGCAGTGTCTCCTTCTCAATGAGCTAATTTCCTTAAAGTCTTGAAGTAAAGAAATTTCTGGGTCCCTCCCCAATATTACAGAATGTTACACTACATGCAATCCATACACACAGGAATTTGTAGTTATGTCGTTAATACATTAGAAAGAATGAGTGATTTATATATAACAGAAAATAAGGTTTTAATATCTGAAGTCTAGCAAACAGAACTATATACAATAATGTTTTAGGTATGACAGTTGCCAAGTTATTTCCCAGATTTCTTAGTATAGCAATCTGCATGTGTGATTGTACTCTATCTATCTATCTAGCCACTCACACACACATATTATGCATGTTACACTCACTGTATTATCTACATATGAAATATGTTCTGCCTTTTTGCTCTCTTCTGTTTGTTTATATGTAACACACAGAAGAGAGTAAAAAAGACAGAACATATTTCATATGTAGATAACACAACGTGTGCATGTTTGTATATAATATGGATGTGTTGGTAGTGATTCCATATCTAGGGCTGCACTGAAATTTCTACTCAAAGTAGGATTAATTTCTCCCTTTTTCTATACTAATAATTGAATTTAGTCACTGTAATTCTTCAAAGGACAACTGCATTTTCTATATTTATACACATACACATATACATACAGATTTGCAAATGCATGCATATTTCCTGCATATGGAAAGGAACCACTTTGCACATAATTCAGCATTAACCATTGAAAATTTGAATGACACTTAAAATATGCTCATTTGCTTCTAAGATGGTTTATCTTGCAAGTATTGTTTCTTGTTAATATGTAGTAACTTATAAGTTTCCACTATCTCTCTGGGTAACATTTGCTCAACAATTACTTCTGCTGGAGTAGATTTCCAAAGGAAGCTGCAGGCTTCATTGGGGAAGCTGTTTGCAGAAATCTCTTCATTTCTCTATAAATGAATCATGAGAGACAACTAAGATTTTAGGAATCAAGATTTTTGTTTTTTCTTTTTTATTTGGGAGGTAGTTCCGTTTTAGTGAGATATGGTGGAGATGCCTAACAGAAAATAAACTATTCTAGGCTATGATGCACCCTCGGGGTTCATGAATGTTGGGGGAGGAACAGTGATTATACAATGCAATAACATATTGAGACACTCTTTCAGTTTTACACTTGGTATCAAGTAAATACAGGATATCTCACCCATGAAGGGTGATTATCTTTCATGAAGGGAGGAAATGAGTTATTAAGGTCTTTCTCAAGAGCAAAACAAGGATAAGAATCTTTATTAGTGTAAGAAACAATTTGTTTTTTCCCTACAGAAATATACTTCCTTTTTAGCAAATTTTTCTTATTGTCTATATCTCAGAAAGAAACCCATATCAGTTTCAGCTGATACTTACCAGTGCACTGCTTGAGTATACTGCTATAAAACATGTGCTCATTGCCATTTTTATCTAGATCACAATTAATAATATTTTTAGGCATGAAATGTCTATCCACTCCCATAAAAACACTTGTAAAGTATTTGATATTTTATTTGAGGATATTAAAAGATTGTTTAAAAATAAACATGTACCACTGGAGCTGAATTTTCACACGATTATTCAGATCGTCAATAGGTCTCCTTTGATCATATTATTATGATGCTTCTGCAGGATCTCATTCTAAGACAGGCATATTTTCTCTCTCTCTCTCTTCCCCTCTCCTCCCCCCCTCCCCCAAACAAGGTCATAGATTTTTTTTTTAAATGAGGACTAGAAGTTCCAAGTACAAGATTAAGTAAGTTCTAACAGTGTTATAAAAGTAAGTGCTTTTTTCTATAATAAAAGGTGTTTAAAAGGTTCGCTACAGCTTTAAACAGAATTACAATTTACTTCTTTCAAGTGTCCAGGCCATAAATTCTTCTCAATTCCCTCTCTCTCTCCTTGTCGGAATTAATGAGATCAGATTTGATCAGGGCAGTGATGTGTTCAGAGCCAAATCACACAACAGCGCGCGTGCGGTAATGGAATTTGCATCTAATGCATACATAAATCAAACATCTTTCTGGACATTTTCATATGCATAATGTCATTTCATCCAGTTCTCTCTGTGCAGAGGGGGAGATTTTTCTCTCTGAGAGAATGACTTTCTTTAATGCTTTCATTTTATTTTCGCTGACTACAATCCCCGAGAATGCGCTCGGTCGGAGAATCTTTCGGGGCGCGGTTGACAGTTCCTTTTCCAAGAGGGGTCCTTCACATTTATCATGCCTCTTCCTCGGGGGCTTTGTTATGCAAATGTGGCTGAAATTGATAATTCCAAAGTGCTTCATTTCGGTTCCTTGGCGGTTGGAGATGGTAGATAAAAAGAAACTGACAAGACACACTGATTGCCCTCAATGCTTGTAACTCTCTTGCTAACAAGGCTCGATATTGTTAAAAATTCCTATTGTTATCAGGGTGGCAGTTCCATTATGCAGGCCTTGCAAATTTCTGATTTGAATATTAACCCTTTAATCACCCTTCTCCCCTCCCCCCAACCCAAAATCAATTGCCATCAAATGGCTTAAGGACACAAAACATTAAATTATTTCCCTCTTATGGTTGAACATCTGTGATACATTTTAAAAACTCCATTAATTATTTTTCAAGGTAAGCTGGAACATTTTATATCTAGATGTAAAAAAAAAAAAGGGGGGGGGGAGAGAGGAGAGGAGTATGTGCCCTAACACAACAACTCTGGCAAGGATAGACTGAACTACATTATTTCAAGATATTTTGGGGGAAAGGGAGTGAGGGTGGGAAGGGGACAGAGGAGAATATTTACATGGAAATTTCTGTTTATAAAAATCAAATATAATAGTTCCTGGAGAGTGGAGAAGTTTCATTCGTTTGAACTTTATGTTCTGACTGAGGTAGGCCTCTTGGAGGGGATAGCGTGTCTTCATATTCCATAGTATAGTTGATTTTTACTTGGCTGTCCTGTTGGCTGCAGATATGCCATTTTTTTTTCTGGCTACCCAGCAACAAATGAAAGAAAATCTCCTTTAATCTGACAGATAGGTGACCAAAAAGTCCATATTGCAAAAGGAAAGTATAAATGATGAGGGGTTTTTGGTGTATGGTTTTTGTTTGTTTGTTTTTTCCTTTTTAGACCAGTCTATAACTTCACTTGTATAATTAAGTGCTGCTTATCTAGGCAGATTACACTAGGTGATTTGTAAGTATCCTTGACAGTGCAGTAGAGGGGAAATGTATATTCTAAGGGCATGATCCGGCACCCGTTGAAGTCAATGGGAGCTTTGCCAATGGCTTATAATGGGCGCTGGATCAGACCTTGAAGATGGTGCTCTCCTGCACAATGACAAGTTAAATGTATGTTCTAGATGCAAGTTACATTTACGCTGAAAAAAGGAAAGATGCTTGATAACTGATTTACTCATTGATTTGCTGAAAATGTGGCTTCTGGAATTTCACACATCCTTTTAACACTTGCTGTTATGTGCCCAAAGAAGGTGAATTCCTCCCCACCAACCACATGCCTTCAGGCTCATATTACAATTAAAGGTTAATTTTGGTTTATCATCTTTCTTGAGAGACCTGATGTGGTTCCAGTTAAAGTAAAGATTAATATGACAAGGTAAGTACTCTAGATGCTTGGGTGCGTGGGGGAGAGAAAGGGTTTCCTTTGTAAAACGAAGCATAATTCATTGCTAACATCAGGCAATTGCAACAATATAATATCTCTGTACAATTTCCAAGAAGATGCATCTCAACCAGCTCATGTCAAAGGAACATCAAAGTTTGACACACTCTTAGTTCTGAAGTCTTGCAGAGCTGTGTCTGCCAAATTATAGTAAATAAAAAAGATACTGGCACACCAGTAACCTCTTTTATATTGGACCAAGGATCTCTCTTCCTCCCCCTGTTAAAAAATCTTTCCCATTATTGTAGTAACTCTTGGGAAGCTCATACACTTGGGTTTTCTTTCATTTATAGGTATGATGGCAGATTAAATCTATGTCAGGAAACAGTGATAATGTCCACTGTAGAGTCTTGTGAGTTACAATAGATAAGTTTTCGATGTCAGTGTTTTTTCTTTCAGTTATTTGAAAACACCCTTTTAATTTTTAATGTGTTTGTATCCTTATTCTTTTACCAAAACTGATACCTTCCCACCCTTTAATTCAGAAACAGATATAACTAAAACTGGTTGATATAAACTCATAATTTGAATCTATCATTTAATCTGTCTATTAGAGTAACCCATGTTAGTGCTTTTTCCCTATTGATTTACATAATTCTGTCAAGTACTGTTATGTATATTCAATGGTATTAATATCTCTAGTTGTTCTATGGTTGTATAATCACCAATACTATCTAAACTTCGCAATAATGACTACATTAGCCAGCAGTAGTCAAATAGTACTAATCAGTCAATATTTATTAAAAACAATAAATGTAGTTAACGTGTTCTGTCTGCCATAAAGAATCAACCGTACCTCTGATGGTTTAAAAAGATTTCCCATACTTTCCCAGAATCAAAGAGAGTGCTTATCTCTTGGAATGAGAGATTTGTATGTATGTTCTGAATTTATTTCTTATTTTCAGTTATGTTTAGCATTGACTCTGTTGTA